ATATATATATATATATATATATATATATATCGACTATGTCAAAATGATTTCCGGATTCCAACTAATCTTCGTATATTGATAAATATATTGGTTTTATTAATAAAATTGCATGACAAAACATATGATAGAGATCGAATTGATATATCAAGACAAAATTGCAAAATTGGTTCTTGTGGTATGCAAAAAACTTTGAATAAGATCCAAAAGGTTTTCAACTTGTATGAAATATCCAAAATCAAGAATTTCATGTGGTTTTAGTCTATATTTTGTCCCTGATAAACTTGAAATGACAATTTTACCCTTTTCATTTATTTTTTGTATTTTTTTATATTATTGTAAACACTTTATTAAAACAAAAATAAAAAAAAAATAAAAACATTGTGCCTATCTACCCCACCCCACAGGTGACCTCTCTCTCTCTCTCTCTATATATATATATATATATATATATATATATATATATATCTATTTATCCACCTTGTTCATACTTCTGGTCTAAAACTCTATTATCAGTACCATCTTCACCATCAGAAGCATCGACCCAACCATACTCTCTTTAAGAAATCAACTCCATCTTCCTTTCATCTCTCTCGCTTATTGTCATCAAGCACAAATCTGTTAATCGATGACGCTACCGGAAAAGACGAAGCAACGATGGCCGCCACTGGAACTAGGGTTTTCAGAGTCGCCATTACTAGGGTCTCGTTTGAAGAGGGTGATTTTAGATAAGTGTTTGATTGATGTTGAGAAGCTAGTGGCTAACCACCCATCCTTATCAGATCATTCAACAACTATGAGTGTTTCACGATCAATTGTTTGTAAGCCTCAACACCATAATCAATGTGCAATTGTTTGTGAGTATCAATTGTAAACGTGTGTGTTGAATCTGAAATCAAGGTACACTAACTTTCTGAGATAATCTCCTCCTTCTTCAACACATAAACAAATATACATACTCAAACGATTGTTGATTTCGTAAGTGTGTGGGGAAGAGAGACAAATTGAGATTGAAGATCAACAATATAGATGTTTTCTATTGATGATTTGTTATCGTTACGAAGTTAGTTTAAGTTTAGCTTTCTAACGAACAATTCACTTGTGGTTTGATTTTGAAACTGGATCAAAATGTCAATTTGATTTATTGGCAAAATGAATTGAGAGATTAAAGATCTCTTGTTATTGTATGATTCTTTATTAGACGTGGATATTCAACTTTGAAGATTTATAGCAATTATCTTGTCAATGATTTTTTATCAAATATTGATTTGTATTCTGATCAAGTTTATCGATCAAATGAATAAGTCACCGTGAAGCGAAATCGAAAGGGTGTATGTGTGAGAGTGTGTGCTTATTGTGGTGGCCAGAGAGAGATGGATGGGTCCATTATTATTTTTTATTTTTAATTAATTAAAGATTAAAATAAATACAAAAAAAAAAAATTAAAAGATCAAAACGGTCATTTCAAGTATTTTTGGATCTAAACCATAGGAAATTCTTGATTTTGGACCTTTAATACAAGTCGGAAACTTTTTAGACTCTACTTAAAGTATTTCACATACCACAATGGCCAGTTTTACAGTTTTGTCTTATATCAAAAAGCCGGTTACTAACGGTACTTTATGATTTGAAAACACAAGTATGTCTAATATATGCATATGATAGAGAATGAACTATTATAACTAACAGATAAATTTTAATCTTAGTAAAAATAATCTACCTTTTGAAAGTCCGTTGCTGATTTTGATGGTCACGTGTGAAAAGTAAAGATGGACCCTAAAGATTGTGATTGGTTCATTGCTAATTTGACACTATTCCATCACTAATATGTCAATAGTTTGTTGCTAATAATATACATAAAAAACTTGGGACCCCTAATCGACAATGGCCTTCGCACACGCCGTATGGACCCGAAACCGACCCTGCACCTCTTAGAAGGTGCACCAACATTCGAGAAAAAGGTCAGTGAGATTTTAGTAATATTTGCCAAATCCGTGGATAATTGTACCGGATAGAAAAGTTGTTGTGGCCGATCTCATTTATAATTAGTAGTTACTCCATTTTTAGACTACCAAAGATGTAAGAATTCTTATAAATTGTTTTTGGTATTCTTTTGCAATGTTAAAGATTTATTAAATCCATTGAGTTTCATTTCTTTTTCCTTGTTGGCATTTTCTTGCTTGATAACAAACAAAAAAAAAAGTTGGAACCGAAGAATTCAAAAGTTAAGTATTTTTTTCAAGAAAGCTTAAGCTAATTCGTGAAACATATCTTAGAACATTAACGCGCGGTTATATGATAGTCATTTGTCACGAATAAATAAAACATTGAAATCTATGAAAACAATTCGTGCATGAAAAAGAGCCATAAATAAAATCATGCAATGATTTAAAAAAATTGATTGTTTAAAAGATTAACTGTATTAAAGAAATAAAATCACATAAAGAAAAAGGTTAGCTAAAAAGACACATATATTAAAAAATTCTCAAAATTCTACGAACTTAGGAAATAACGAAAAAGTTATATACATTACAGCCCCACCTAAATTTGGGTACTAAACCTCATGAAAATACGTTGTTTTACTATATAAAGATTGCGATTATGAATTCATGATTAACACTTGAAAATGTAGATTTATGATGTACACAATGGTTTTGATAAACAAGAAAGAACATTGATTATCTTCGATCTTCGTGACGATGGAAAACAATATTGTTCACTAGAGTGAAGTAATAAACGATAAATGAAGAAAGAAACAAATAATGGTAAAACGATAATAGATGGAAGAAATATTATTGAAAATGATATATTTACCAAATGAAAACCAAATTGAATATAATTACTAAGTTAAACCGAATATCTACTACAAGTGCTAATACTAATATCCACCAACATCATGATAACTCGTCTTTCGTTTATAAAGAGAATGCCATTTTGCGCCTTCTATATAAACATAACACCAAATAGGCAAAGCTCGACATCAACTTTTTCTGTTTTTTACCTATATTACCCTCATTGAGCATCACCAACAAACAAGAAAAAATCGTTCGAATGTTTAAATTAAATGAATTTCGTGAATATCTAGCATGATCATCGTTATCGGAAAATGATATTTCGTTAATTCGTGATATGTTTTCATGAGTTTGATAGTTTAGCATGGTTAATTAAAAATATGGCATCTTCATATACGTAGCTTCAATATAATATATTTTATAGAATAGTTCTAACTTTTACTCCCTTGATCAATTTTAAGTTTAGGTGTATCATCAAATTTCATCTGTTTCACTTGTTGAGTATAATAAAACATCGTCAATCAGACGATTCCTATATAAAAAAACAAAAGTTGGCATATTTTAAAATTTTTATAATAAAATAAAAATGAAATAATAGAATGGAAATGGGGTTGGAAGGGGTTTTTAGGTTTCCAAGAAGACGACCCTCAAAATACGGGCTATGCTGTGTCGTGCTCCGCCGTTGCCTTTATACCAATTTTCAAATTTAGCCCCACCACTTTATCATTTTAACAGTCAGTTCCTCACTTCCTCTACTTTCTACACACACGTAAACACGCCACATACACTTCTCATGTCCTCTTGGTTGATTTCAAAAAAACACATACAATTATTGAAAAGCCAAAGATAAAATATTTCATCATCAGATACACAATTCCATTAAAATAAGAAAAAAGGAGATATATTTTTAAAATGTTTTCTTAAATGTTGTTTGTTTTTTGGAAAAAAAAAAAAAAAAAACATCTTCAAACATCTTATTGTTGCGCGGTGTAACATACGCGTAACACTTTTAATTTAACAGATGTTTGTTTTTTAGAAGTATTCAGAGTAAAAAACAGTTGCGCGTGTTCTATTGCCGCAACACTTGTATTGCCTCTTCCAACTTTTTTTTTTCATGTTGCTGAAATCTTATTTCATTTTTTCCGTGTTTTTTTTTTTTTTTTTTTATCTTTATTGAATTGTTTTTTTCGGTTTCGATATTAAATAATGATAATTTCTTGATGAAATATCATTATTTTTTTGTTAAAATAGACAAAATTGCAAGTTTGGTCCCTGTGGTATGTCAAAAATTGGATGTTTGGTCCAAAAAGTTTTGGGGTTGTACTGGTGGTCCAAAAGCTTTGATTTGTTGTGGAATTGGTCCAAAGGCTTAACAGCCGTCTACCCCTCCGTCTGTGTGAGGGTATTTTTGTCAATTCACACTCATTCCTTTGATATCTTATTAAATTAAACCCCCCCTAACGTCTACTCTCCTTATTAATAGATCGAACATGTGTTTCATCTTTTCCCTAAATCGATATCTCCTCCTGCTAAAATCAAAATCGTGTCTTCCAAACTCAAAATCAACAATGGTGAGGTGTTTTTGTGGTCAAATGGCGATATTGCGAACGGCTTGGACTGATAAGAACCCTGGTCGACGTTTTTGGGGATGTCCTAAAGAGGTTAGTATTCATGTGGTTGGTTATGAAGATTTTTCACTGATCACTCAATTCCTTCTTATATTTTGCTAGGATTCGACATGTGGGTTTGTGGGATGGATCGACCCTCAAATGTGTGAACGATCAAAATCAATAATACCTGGGTTGCTGAGATCAATCAACAAGCTAAAGACTGAAGTTGGAAAATTGAAGGAAGAAAATCAAATGTTCAAGTATGATATTGGAAAAATAAAGGAAGAAAAATCAAAACTAAAGTTGTACCTGATATGTAGCTGGGTTTTTTTTGGGTTTGTTTTTTTTCTGATGAAGTAGTTCTTCCATGTTTTAGTGGTTTATTTTGTGGTAGATTTGGGAAAATTGCTATGTTTGTGAATGTACTCTTTTGGACATGAAAGTGAATGCATTGTTATGGTTAGTGGGTAATGAAGTTATTTGTTTCAAACATCCAAATATTTTGGTTCTACTAGACATAGCAGTGATGGGACAAACTGTTAATGCTTAACATAACCTAATAGTAACATAAAGATGCTAAAAAGTAAAGGACAATGATGCATAAACAAAAGAACATCCAAAGTTAATAACCATTGTTTGCACATACCAAATTCTTGTTACATGACCAAAAAAAACATCATTCTAAACGGAGGGTAAAGTTGTCCAAAAAACATCAAAACCATTAAACAGACACCCAAAAGAACAACACAATGGTTCCCAAAAGTAACACATTACATCATCTTAATCCAACAAGACAACACATCAATTTCCTCATTGCCCCTTACATGTTCTTGCATTATGTCCCTTGTTTTTACACTTGCTACAAGTGACAGTAATGAACTTCCTTGTGAGTTTTCCACTGCCCCTGGACCATGACCATCTATACCACTAGCACCAATTGTTTGACTTTGACTTTGAGTTTGGCTCTGACTTTGAGATTTTTCCTCCATGGATCTTTGCCTCTTCTTCTTGGGCCTACCAGGCTGATTACGATGTGGAGGAGGGCTGATCTTTATTGGACAATCACTAACAGGCCACATGATACGACCTTTGATTGGTTCTACCTTGTAGGAATAAGCCTCTTTCCAGGTTTCAAGCCAATGCACCTTGTGTACATAAGTGTAAAGTTCACCCACATCCTCACCATTGTCAGCTTTATCAAATAAGACTGCAATCACATGCCTACAAGGAATTCCTGTTAATTCCCATTTCCTACAGCTGCATACCCTTTGGCCCATGTCAACAACATGTTGATCTTGCCATGGTCCTTGTACTTCATACTTGTCTGAGGAATTCCACCTGGCTATGTAGTTAGAAGCATTTATTGTGTTTGTTTCCATGATCTTTGTTGCTGTTGGAGTCAATGGACCTGCACAGTTCTGTTGAACCTTTATCACATTGCAAATCCTCTTCATCATGTACTCCCGAATGTACTCTAAGCATGTGATTATTGGTTTATCCCTACCTTCTATCAGTTTACTGTTAAACACTTCACATAGGTTATTTAAAAGCATGTCTGTGATTGGTCTACCTGCAAGATAATTGTTATTTAGAACAGCATACAACAAATTTGTGTAACTTAGCACTGAATTGAGAGTTGTCTACCTGTGAAATGGCTTCTAGCCCAATGTTGTGGTGGGATCTTCTTCAACCATTCATAAGCTTCTATGTCATATTCACTAAACTCTTTCATCAAACGATTGAATTCTTGCATTGTTGTGGCTTTGGCACAGTTCCATAACTTTTCTTTGTACTCAGTAGTTCTCCATCTCCTCCTCATGTTTTCATAGATATGTCTAAGACAGAATCTGTGTTCAGCAACCGGGAACAACTGTGCAATGGCTGGAATTAAGCCCTACAAAGTCATTAAATTGTGGTTAGTATAATACAAGTGTAATAAGAAAACTAAAATACATCAAGGAAATCTATTACCTTTTGTCTATCACTTATGAAGGTGAAGTTTGAAAGTTGTGACAGGTCCAAATCATCTCCCAGGTACTCTAGAAACCATTTCCAACTTTGTGTGCTCTCAGACTCAACAATGGCGTATGCCAATGGGTATATACCATTGTTAGAATCTAAGCCAACTGCAGTCAAGATCTGCCCTGGGTAAGCTCCTTTCATGAAGGCCCCATCTAAACCAATAAAATCCCTTAAGCATGCTTTGAATCCCTTTTTCATTCCACCCAAGCAAATATAAATTCTCTGAAAACATCTTGAAGTTGCATTTACAAGATTTGGTTCTGGAACCAGTTCCAGTTTCACAGTTGTGTCAGGATTTGTGGACTGCAACTCTAATATGTAATCTCTCAGCACATCATATTGTTTTGTGTAGTCTCCCATCACATGTTTTTTGGCATCTGCTATAGCCCTAAATACCTTGTCTTTGGAGAAGCTCACCTGATATCTTTTCTGAAGTAGTTCTTGTACAGCTTTGATTGGCACAGTTGGGTTAGATTCCACTAGATCCATAATCTGTTTAGAGATGAAGTTTGCTGTGGCCGTTCTTACCTTTCTTGTATTAAGACATGAATGCTCAGGTTGGTAGGTTTTCACACACCAAATTTCTTCCTCACTTTTCCTAGATGCTTGTAAAACCCACTGACAAGACAGTTCAGTACTTGTCTTTGTCTTTTTACTTTTGCCTTTACTTTTCTTCCCAGTGGTAGGTCCATCCACTTGCCCCTCATTGAATACTACTTTTCCTTTGCATGTGGCCCGCAACCTAAGTTTATCATTTTTCTTAATAAAAAGATTCTTCCTGGTTTCCAAGGCATGATGGGCAATTTTGTCTTTCAACTCTTTTTTACTTTTATATTTTTGTCCTATACGAAATGTTGGTTTATGAACTTCTCCTAAAGAACACCTTTTTTCCTTACCTAATTCTTTAATAACTTGTCTTCTCTTCTTGACCATCTCAGAATCATCATCTGTTGAATCCCATTCATCATTGTCAATAACATCCAACTCCATATCTTCATGCTCCTGATTTCTATCTTTCTCCATGCTATTCCTTAGTCTTTTCTCAAAAAACTCTGCTTCAGTGTCAATGCTCATGTGGAAATCCCTCATATCCACTTCAACTTCAGGAATGATATTCTCCTCATCCACCCAATCACTATCCTCACTATCCTCACTGTCATTTTCCTCATCACAGTGACTACCCTCTCCCCTATCAGATATGCTCCCATCTTCTACATCAGATTTGCTCCCATTGTCATGCTCCATTTCAGTCTCCATGTAATCATCCATGTTGTTGTCTATGTAATTATCCATGTAATTATCCAAGTTGTCTTCCATGGCAGTCTCATGTCCATGATCCAGTTCCACTTCATCTTGTACATTTTTTTCTACTTCTACTTGTGCATGTTCTTCTACTTCATCTTGAACATGTTCTTCCACTTCTACTTGTACATGTTCATGAACATCTGCATTTGATTGTAACATCTTTTGATACAAACCAATATCAAATTCTGTAGCTGCCTCCATAAAGTCATTGGCAATAAGCTCTTTTTGTCTATCATGAACCTCGACATGTAATGGTTGTACCTCAACCTCAACAGGGGATGATCTAGGTGGGCTTGGAAATTCTTGTACCTCAGCTGTGTGGTTTTCATTGTCATCATTTTCATCTATTTCATCCATTTGTACAATAGTTACCTTCTTAACAGGTTTAGGATTCATAAAGTAGGTAAGTAACTTTGTCTCACCATGTTCAGTATATACCCTCATGATTTTGTGATCACACACATATTGGGCAAAAGTTCGTAAATCATCATCATTGCCTAAGGGTTTAAGACCAAAGTGGAAGTCTCCACCAGGCACAAGGAAGTGATAGTAAATCACAGGAGGAACACCGTACCTGAACCCTTTCATGATAGCATCCAACTCATGAACTGAAAACGTGTCTATATCCACCATGTCAACATAGTTCACACTTCCATCAATGTATTGAACATCAGGAAACTTGGTGAACTCACCTCCATGGTATAGCTTGATGGTAAATAATGTTGGGTGGCCATCTTCAAACCAACAACAAAAATAAGTTCAGAAGCATGATTTCACATACAAAACATGTAATGTACAGAGAAATTACAAAATCCTTACCATAAGCCACCTTTGCGTTGAACGGTTTGTCTAAGAGCCTTATATTCCACATTGGTATGTTCATACACTGAAATAACACCGATCACAATAAAAAAACTCAACTTGGAGGTTAGGGCTTCTGGGTAACGAATGAAGATGAAAGTGACAGGAGAGTCGATCGACGAAATGCACAGAGGATTTGGCGGCAGGTATCAATTAATTAGGATGATGAGGTTTAATTTAATAAGATATCAAAGGAATGAGCGTGAATTGACAAAATACCCTCACACAGACGGAGGGGGTAGACGGCTGTTAAGCCTTTGGACCAATTCCACAACAAATCAAAGCTTTTGGACCACCAGTACAACCCCAAAACTTTTTGGACCAAACATCCAATTTTTGACATACCACAGGGACCAAACTTGCAATTTTGTCGTTAAAATATCTTTATTGCTTTGTTGAAATATTATAAATTTTTGTTAAAATGTAATACATTATTAAATTTTTGGTATTAAAATTTTCACTTTATAAAATTAGTTTATTTTAATTTTTTAATACCTTCAGCGGCATTCAGATATTAAAAAAATAAACACGCTTTTTATTACAGTCTGCAATCGTTTGGTCTACCTCTTCTACTACAGAGGGTTGCAGAGATGGTCTGCAGACTTCATGAATTTTTGCTTCAGAAAAACAAATAACACCTTAATTAACTTTTATGGAAAAAAAAAGTATTTCTAGAATCATTGTTTAATGGTTTGTATTATGAGTTTATGAGGTAATGTATATGCATACTTTTAATTGGCTCATCTAGGTTATATATTATACAAATGCCATAATTATCAAATATCATTAATAAAATTTTAATATTTTTAGATTATCTATCATAAAATTAAATTTGTGGTAGATTTGAAGACAAATAACATGTTACTCCTGTTGCTATATAAAAGATTCGGGTTTGTTTCACTCCCTTACATTTTTCATGTTGATCTAAATCGAGATTGGGCAAACTGATACCAACATGCATAAAAAAACGTGTCTCGGATTGAATCCGAGAAAAATCAAACTATTTTAAAATGATATCTGATTGAAAAAAAGGTCGGTTCTAAAAAACGATCGGCCATGGCCGACCCAATACCGGTCACAAAGTAACCAAAGTTTATAAGCATATCATTTTTGTGTTACATAATTTCTAATCACATTATTTAACTTCTTTCAATTTTTTCTTTTATTAAAGTTTAAATTTATGTGTATCATTTTTAATAAATATTAATCTATTATTTTGATGTTAATCATATATTTGTTAAAGGAAAAATTGGAAATTGAAACAAAAACCAAACATTACCGAAACAGAATCGAAAAAAATCCGAGAACCATACCAAAACAAGGCGCACAAAAAAATCGTGAGACCAAACCGAAAAAGACCGAATCGAGACCATCCGAATTCTATAAAAAAAAAAAAAAAAAGGGACGGTTTATGCTACCATCACTACCAACTTTGTTTATTTATAATTTAGTCTCAAATTTCAAATTATTTTATAATTTTGGTCCAAGCATAATTCTGTATTATACAATTTTGTCCCAACTTTCATTTGCTTTTACAAATTTTGTTCAAACCTTTTTCTATAAAATAAAATAAAAATACAATTTTCTTCCTTTTAGCGTTTTTTTAAGTATTTTTAGAAGTTTTGTTTTTCAACTTCTTTAATATATTTTTATAAATTTGTTTTTGATGGGATTGTTTCTACAAAATTTATATTACTACTTTTTATACAAATTTTATAAAGTTTTCATTTTACTCAAATTACTCGCCAACCATGAATTTTGCCCCAACTAGCTATGAATAAGCCCTAAACACAACATAACAACCATGTATCCACTAAGAATATTTAGGAACCAACCAAAACAACCTAAGCAAGGCCACTTCCAGGCATGGATCTGACTTGTGTATAGTCTCTTGATATCAGTCAACACGAATGCAACCATAGCCGATATCGACATGACTAGCCTTAACCCAATTTGATGAAGTGGATCAGCGATCGGAAAAGAATATTTGAGATGAAGATGTTTGAATTGAAACACCAAAATTGCATCTGTTATTGAATTAATAATCTAAATAGCATAGGAGGCTCTTTGAGAGGAAGATGTTTGATTTTAAAAACAATGGAGTGTAAAAAAAAATGGCAATTTGGTGAATTTTCTGTCACGTCAACATGTTGCACCAAGTAACTGGGAGGATCCCGGTGAAATGGTCAACGTTGAACGAAATTGAAAAATATGATTTTCGATTTAGAACAGAAATAATAGAGTTTGAATATTAAAAAATGATAATATAATGACTTTTGTGTAATTTGACATTTTAATTTAAACTAAAATATTGATAAGATTACTCAATTGTTGTTTACCACATGACTTCGTTTTATTTTAAACATTCATTGTAAAAACCTGGTAGTCGAAGTGCCAAATTTTACACAGAAGGTCCATGATTCAAATCTTAATACATCAAAAAATATAGTTTTATGTGACTGACAACCCACATAACATACTTTAGAGGGTTTGACATAGACCTAACCCAGTCGAAAATAATCGGAACCGGAATTACCCGTCCAATCCATTTCAATTAAGGTAAATTGGGTCGAATAACTCAGGTATCGGGTATATAGGTATTCGGGTTCCCACTTCTTTTTAGATCGGGTATAGGTATATCTATAGGGTTTCGTGTATACCCGAAATACTCGATTAATTTGAAAAATAAAGAACTTGTTGGGTAATATCCACTTATTCGTATTCTCTTTTCCTGATAATCATGTCTCACTTTGATGAGAAATAAAACCCTCCTCTGTTTCTTCCATCTAACCATTGTCTTTTGCTCTTAATACTAACATTATTTGACTTTTTTTATATAGAATTGAGGAAGATGAAGTTGTGAAGGTGCAAGAAGAATGAATACATTTGTGAAGATCTTTTGGAACTTGATACATTTTTATTTTGAAGATATTTTGTGGTTTGAAACTTTGAATTAATTAGTATCATTATGTTATTATGGGCATCTCAAATTATGTAGGATCTTTGTTTTTTTGTTCACTGTGATGACCTAGCTTTTATGTAGGATCTTTGTTTTTCTGTTCACCATCAATCGAGTTAAAAAAGACAATCTATCAAAAAATTTGGTGCGAATGCATCCTCTGGTATAAATAAGAAAGGATAATGACTTAAAAAGCTAATATATTTTTTAATTTATACACATTTGGTCACTGAGTTTTTTTTTTTTTTCGTCCACATTTACCCATTCAACTTATTAAATTGTATACATCCAATCCTTATGACCGGTTACTCCAGTTTAGCCGGGAAAAATGACTTATTATGGTAATATATTTCTCATTTTGTACACATTTAGTCCTTAATATTTTTTTATTTCAAAATAATTCATTTTCTGTTTTTGTACCAATTCAATACTTATGAATGATTTATTTAGGGTTTTTCTTATGACATCTATCATGAGACTATCATTGATGACAGGGATGGTTCTCTTTAGGTGCCCGCAGTGGCACCGACAACCCCTACTTTTTCTGTACGCAGTGTAAATTTTTCGATATATATATATATATATATATATATATATATATATATATATATATATATATATATATATATATATATATATATATATATATATATATATATTTCTTTTTTTACTTACCGACAACATCTACTACGGACCGACAACACCTACTACCAAATCTTGCGTCCGTCCCTGATTGATGAGGTGTTTGGAGCTATTGATGTGTATGTCCATTACGGCCTCGACTGCTTGGTTGCATAGATCTTGTGGTTTGGCGTAGGTTTTGTATTCTGAATGTCGTAACTTCTTCATACGATATCTGATTTTAACGATCTTTATATCTACGTGTTCGTGTTTAAGTGTGTTATAACTTTCATTAACATTACTCCCGTTAAAATATAACATGTTGTTACTTACGATTTTATAAAAAAACATTCATACATGCATTCATAAAAAACATATGGATATAAAGATCGTAATTAAAAAATATATTACTTTTTAACAGAAGTAATCTAAACGAAAGTTGTAGTATACTAAAATACAAACACATAGATATAAAGATCGTTAAAATCTGCGATAGTATGAAAAAGTTATGACGTTCAAAACACATGACCTAAGCAACAAAGTAGTCGAGATCGCGATAGATATAAGCATCAAAAGCCTAAAACACATCGTTAATGATTGTTCCATGTAAGATGTTGTGAGAAAAACTTTAAGAAAACATTCATAAGTATTGAATGAGTACAAAAACAAAAATAAATTATTTTGCAAAAAAAAAATTAATAACTAAATGTGTACAAAAATATTAAGGACTAAATGTGTACGAAATGAGAAAAATATTACCCTATTAAGATATTTTAACCGGTTAACCTGAAATAACTGGTCATAAAGACTGAATGTGTACAGTTTAATAAGTTGAAGGGTAAATATGAAAAAAAATAAACTTAGTGACCAAATGTGTACAAATCGAAGAATATATTACCCTTTTAAGTAATTATCAACATAAATGATGAGATGAAGAATCATTTGCGTGCAATATGAATCAAAGTGACAACAAAAAAAACCAATCAGACTGTGTATTATAATGCTACACAAAAGCACATAAAGATAGAACATGTGTCGTCTTGCTATTCCATATATAATGGAATAAATAAATTTGCAAATAATTCAACAAAAGCTACACACAAATAGACGCACATCAACTAGACATGATATATATATATATATATATATATATATATATATATATATATATATATATATATATATATATATATATATATATATATATATATATATATATAATCAAGTCATATTCAATTGGATCAAGATTCTTAATGGCGGTCCTATGGTCTCACACTTATTCTATGCCGATGATGCATTATTTATCGGAGAATGGTCTTGTCATAACATTACCAACCTCGCAAAAATCCTTATATGTTTTCACGTCTCATATGGCGTTAAGTAAACTTCAGGAAATTCAAAGTATTTGGTATTTATGCTTCCTCATTCGAAACAAATCAGTGGGCAAACATCTTAGGTTGTGAAGTAGGGTCTTTCCCTTTTCAGTACATGGGAGTGCCGGTTGGAGCTAACATGAACCTAAAAAAAATTTGAAACCCATTATCGATCGGTTTAATTCCAAACTCTCAATTTGGAAGGCCAAAAATATATCGTTTGGCATTAGGTTAACTTTGATAAAGGCTGCTCTTGGCAACTTTCCCACATACTATTTATCCCTCTTCAAAGCTCCATTAGGAGTTGTGGATGCCTTAGAAAAAATTCGTCGGAGATTCCTATGGGGTGGTTGTGACTCTAAGTCTAAAATACATTGGGTATCGTAAGATAAAGTGATAACTCCTAAAGAAAAAACTGGGCTTGGTATGGGTTCATTGCGGTCACTTAACATCGCATTAATTGTCAAATGGTGGTTGCGACTAAGGTTGGAA